GCTTTCTTTAACAAAGAATTGTTCTTGAGGAACCAAACGACCTCTCACTTGCTTAAGCTCAGCCGCCATAGACACCACGTTTCTCCTGAAACTCTCTTTTTTACCATCTAAATCTTTCAAAAGCGGATCCACCGTCGTTTTGACGGAATCTGACATCAGGGTTTTGTCCAATTTCTCATAAAATTGTGAATCTGTTCAAGCATCGAATCAAATCTCAGAACTTTGAAAAAAAAAACAAATATTCAATGCATGTGAACAAATCTTAAATTATTAACAAACACAGTTGACCAAATTTAAGAACTTTAATTGAAACAAAATTTAAGAACTAGTAAAAGATTGAGACTTTACGAGTTTAACAAGAAGCTGAGACTTCTGGGTTTTGTTGCTCGAAGTGTTTTCTCGGGAAAATTTTAGTCGGAGAAAATCAAAGTGATCATATTTATGTTTCTAGCGTGACAGAGGAGAGAGAAAGGAGAGAAAGAAACACGTAAAGGAAGCTAACACGCAGTGGTCAATGAATTTTCAAAAAATAAAAGAATTTTTGGCTTATTTGATTTTGAAAAAGACAGATACATCTGGAAAAAGAAAAGTAAATTAATACTTGATTTATTATTTTTTCTAATTATGGGGTTTGAGAATTTATTGTTTTATGACATAAAAAGGACTTTGAAAATTAATCAATTAGTATTTCCCTCCGAATTTTTTTCCACTAATTATGGGTTTGAAAATCGACATCTTTTATTTTTTATACTATTCATTATAAGTGATTTTTCTTACAACAAATACTCTTTTCTTTTATAATATGTGTATGTGTGATTGCTAATTAGAAGTTGGGACCATAATACGTTTGATTAGAATTTTTAAGCATATAATTTAGAGAGAAATGTTTATGTTTGTTTTGTGACAAAAGAATAAAGATTGCTAATTTGGTAAGTGCGCATGAAAATGTTTCACTATTTTATTCGACTCTAGGATATGACCCGCGGTACACCGCGGGTTAATTATTTGATTTTTTATTCTTTTATAAACTGATGAATTTGTTGTATATAATATTTTTTATTGTACACCGCGAGTCACATGCGTTGTAACTAAAAACTAAAAAATTTAAGTTATATTTGTTTTGTTTAGTATTTAAAATTGTATAATTGTATTTTGATTTGTTTTTTTTTAGTTTTTTTTACGTAATTTTCCCTATCCCTATAGTTGCCCTCTTAATTGTATAGATATAAGGTTTTTTTTACGTCAATTTTCCCTATTTAATCAAGCTTCGGGTATACCGCGGGTTAATTATTTGATTTTTTTTATATACTGATAAATTTGTTGTGTATAATAACTTTTGTTATATACCGCAGATTGATTTTTTGTAACTAAAAAATTTAAGTTTTAAGTCTTATATATATTTTTGTTTAGTGTTTAAGATTGTACAATTGTATTTTAATTATTAATCTTAGATTTTACCCGTGATATACCGTCCCGTATTAATATCGATCCAAAGTTGTCTACCATATAAGCCGTCGCCATGAAACTAAACATCAATTTGCTATTTTTCTTTTCAATAATACTTTTATTTAAAAAAATTTATATTTTATATGTTACAGTATGTTGTAGGCGTCATTTATAAACAATTATCGTTTTAGGTCGGTTTATTCATTTCAAGTAAGAATCGGTTTAAGACTGTAATTTCCAAAATGGATTGAGTTGGTTTAATCGGCTTAAAGATCGTTGATCCCAAATTTCTTCTCAACATTTTCCATTTGATTTCGCGCTCAGTGATGAACGGCGCATCACCGGCTCATACTTTGGTTTCGACGACCACCGTAGCTAGTGGGCAGTGGAAGCAGTGGCGCCGCCGCTGGTTTAGACGATTTCCGTTTTTCACCGGATATTCCCTCTATGCAAGAGCGAAAAGACGAAACTATGCGTGGTCAGTTCTTACTCTTTCCCCTTTTTGTTTCATGATTTCGAATCTTAGGGTTTCCAATTCCTCGCTAAATTAGGGAATTTTTGTAACAATTGGTAATCGAATTTCTCAGTGATTAGACATTTGAGTATCACATCTCCAGATTTAGGGTTTTCGATACTAAGTATGTGTCTCAATGTCAAAAGGTTGCTATGTGGAAATCAGAAATCTCAATTTTGTAGTTGTTCTTTGAGATTTTTTTTGGTGGATTGATATGTTGATGTGACTGTGACTTCATTAGCTGATTAGTATTGCTAATTAATTGCTCAGAAATGATTAGGGATATGAGTAGATTAAGAAATAACTTTGCGTTCAATTGTTTGTTTGAGAAAGATCATGTAATGGATTTGTTTTTTTATGATGGTGTAGTTTTGAAAGCTGATTTGATGGCTAAACTTGATAAAGAGGTTAAAGCTTTGGAAGAAGATAGTATACGTGCTTGCCCTCTCCAAGTAATCTTACTTGATGCTTCTTTTAGAATAAAGTGTTTAGTTTGATTGGTCCTGATGTTTGACCAAAAAAAAAGAAGATTAGTTCCTGATGTTTGTTTTGATGATTGACATAGGTTGATGAGTCCATTCGTTTTGCTGATTGAAAACGTACTTGAGGGAGTTATCATTGGTTTGGCGTTGTTTATACGTTGTTGCAATCCTATCAATATGACAATTCAAATATACAAAATAGTGAAGAAACAATTCAGAAAAACAAAACCGAGAAGTCAAATTTTTTTGAGAAATAGTAGATAAAGAATGATAGTAAAAGAGTTAGTTAGAGATCGATTGAACCACCTTTCATCTGCTAAAACTAATTCTGTAGTATATCTCTGAATTCTTTTTTTGCTTTCAGATTCTAAGGCTTTGTTGATGTCACAAAGAACCATACAAATGGAAAATGAAAAAGAGGTAATTTTAGGATGAAAACAATTGAAGGTGTTTGGAAAATTATTTTGATCGTGTTTAGAAGTGATGTTTTCTCTCGGAAATGAAATGGATATATATAGAGGACATATACGATTAGGTTTAGCTGTGATACATTTGCGTAAAATCTTTGTGAGCAAGCAAAATCTTTTTGAGTTAATTATAATTGCCTAGAATTAGAAAACTAAATGAATAATAATTAAGGTTGTTATGGAATTAGTTTCAAAAATCAATGAAATTAAGATATCTACGAAAATTAATTTCAGCTGTAAATGGAAATATGCTTTTAAAAATCGTTTAGTTATTCAACATTTCCAATTGTTCTCGTTGCTATTGAATGTAGATGTTATATTGTTCAGTTTTATTAGGAAACAAAAGATATTTTCTGAATATATTTAGAATTTAAATTGGATATGATTAACAAATCTGTTTTATTATCAGAATATGTATTATTGATTGTGACCCATAATAATAGGAAAGATATTGAATGTAGCGATTGTTAGCATAATAATAATAAGAAGTATATCTAACGAATCTGTTAGCATATATATAGGAAAGATATTGAATCCGGTAATAATAGGATTTGGTAGTTTAGGGAAGTATAGGAAGAGAATATTTGGCCGAATTCCTTACATTTTTTTTTGGCAAGTCTCATTTATCAGGATCCGAGAGTTTTGATTGGTCATTGAGTCGGGTCAAAAAAAAAAATCCGGGTCAAAATTGAAAAAAAACCCGACCCGATTGGGGACCCCAAAAACTGCTGCAAAAATGTATAGTAGATTTTATCCGATGAAAACATAACGAAATAAAACAATAGGAGAGATTAGTACCTAAAAATATAGTTCGACTTTATAAATAATAGAATGTTTTCGAATTTAAATTAGGTTATTGGGTTGGATTACGCAGAAGTGGATGTGTTTAAGGGACAATGTCGACATCAAAGACAAAAGTGAGAAGAAAACGTGGAGAAAGGAGATTGGTCTTAGCCAGGTTCGGACTATTACAAGTTCCGCTTTTGGCTAGGAGTTCCGAACCTCTCTAGTCTCTCTAGCTCTAGTCGAGACAAGGACATCAACATAAGCCGTTTTGTGTGTGTTCTTTTTTAGTCTTTTGTAAATTACTAAATTCCATAACTTCCAGATAAATTCAAGGAGTAGTAGTTATTTTATTTTATTTTAATTTGAACAAAAGGGAGTAGTTATTTATTTATGAGTTTTCATGTGAATAAAGTTATATAGATAGGTAAAGTGAATTTCATACTTGCCTACCAAAAAAAAAAAGTGAATTTCATACTTTTTGCATCGATTCATTTTCCAGATTAAAAAGCTGCTTCTTCTTTTTTTTTAAAATAAGAAAGAGTTTCAACTTTCAAGCAACAGAAACACATAATTAAAAATTTCAATAACATAAAATATAGCATATCTTTAGAAATTAAGACTTTCCATTATCGAGATTCTTTAAAATGTGATTGTGGAGCCAAGTTGGATCTCCAAGGGCATGAAATAAGTGAAATTGTCCATGCCGTCACTCACGGCCTTTGCAACTATTCGAGTAAATCCACACATCTAATTTTGATTGTTCATGCCACATTTAACATTATATCGACCCCAGTTAACAAAACCCAACACGACAACACCTTATAAAACAATGACCCATGGAGACTGATAAATTTCTCAAAAACATTTTAATTCAAACAGTTTCATAATCTCATTTTTTTCACAATTCTTCTTATAGCTTCCAACTACGAACGATACATATTTTTCGAAAACATAGATGCGGGTGTAAGCATTTTAGAACACATAACCTATCACCAACTACACAAAATTTTCACTTTTCTTGTACCTTCTATTGTTGGGGTTTATATGTAGAATGTAGTAATCAAGGTCTTATATTGTTCTAGAGATAATAAAAAAAAAATCGTCAATAGAAAAACACAGGACATTAAAAAAGAGTAGTGTGAGAGATAGAAAAATGAGAAGGTTGTAGTATAATAATATAACATAATTTATAGTTGTAACTTGTATGAAATACGAATAAATTATGATTGCATTGAAGAAAACAATCTGGATCTCATATCAAATGACAAATAGTACATAGAAACAAAATAATTAAAGCACCGAGTAGAAATTAAAAAAAAAAAAAGCTTTTAAATAAAGGAATCTCCGTCACCTCTCACCAACTCCAAAGTTCACTTACAGAAACAGAACCGCCTTTTATATAATCGCACTCACTCAGAGAAACAGAGAAGAAGAAAAATGGCGTTGGCTCTTCGTAGACTCTCGTCTTCCGTTAAGAAACCGATCTCGCTTCTTTCTTCTAATGGCGATTCTCTCCGTTTCATGGTAAAATCTTATCACACGTTTTATCTTTCTCAATCTCACCTTTTTCTTTGATTCTGATCCGTTTTTGATTCTTATGCTCAGTCGTCTTTATCAACCTCAGCTATGGCGGAGTCCGAGAAATCTCGTTCTAGTGTAAACAAATTAGATCAGATACATTGTAATATATAATTTAACGAATGTCTTGTTTCCGATTGAAACGTTTTTTTTTTTCTTCTTTATCAGTGGATTAAGCAATTGAATGCATCTCTAGAAGAAATCGATCCCGAAGTTGCGGATATTATCGAATTAGAGAAAGCTAGGCAATGGAAGGTATTATTGATTTGAATGATCAAATTCACAAATATGGAAGCTTTGCTTTATTGATTTGGGGATGTTATGAGTTTTTTTCAGGGATTTGAACTTATACCTTCAGAGAATTTCACCTCTCTCTCGGTTATGCAAGCGGTTGGTTCGGTTATGACTAATAAGTATAGTGAAGGATATCCTGGTGCTAGATACTATGGAGGAAATGAGTATGTTAAACATTTGTGTTTTTGAGAGGTTTTGCACTTTGTTGTTTTAGTATATGATGGTTAAGGTTATTTGTATCTTATCAACTAGGTACATTGATATGGCTGAGACATTATGTCAAAAACGCGCATTAGAAGCTTTTCAGTTAGATCCTTCTAAATGGGGAGGTATGCAAATTACATGCTTTATTTTATAGTGAATCTCTGACATTTTGACTTAGTTATGAATTGTGATTATACACATCTTACTAGAAAGTAGAAACCAACTTTACTAATGGCGAAGCTTATTCCTTCTGTAGTCAATGTGCAGTCTTTATCAGGATCACCAGCTAACTTCCAAGTTTACACTGCATTGCTAAAGCCTCATGAAAGAATCATGGCACTCGATTTACCTCATGGTGGACATCTTTCTCATGGTTATCAGGTACTTGGAATATACTCTCTATAGCATGGTCAGTATTCGACTTTCTTTTCTCATCTCTTTGTGGAATTGATATAGTAGTTTTTTCCCTTTTCTTTTAATTGCTCTTGTGCAGACTGACACAAAGAAAATATCGGCTGTATCCATCTTTTTTGAGACAATGCCATACAGATTGGATGAGAACACTGGTTACATTGATTACGATCAGGTTGGTTAGTTAATAGCCAGCTTACATTGATTATCTTTATCAAATATACCATTGAGATACAGGTTTTAATACATTCAAGCTTTTTCGTTTACGGTTCTTATGTGAAGTAATTAACAGTTTTGAAACCAAAGTTTATTTAGTTGTGATGTAATTATTTGCAGCTAGAAAAAAGTGCCGTGCTTTTCAGACCCAAACTTATTGTTGCGGGTGCAAGTGCTTATGCTCGTCTATATGATTATGCACGTATTCGTAAGGTAAAATTTTGTCTCAACTCTTTAGTGTGAAGTATAATTACAAAACTTGCATGGTAAGTAAATGTGCATTGGGCTTTTCAAGATTGTGGATGAAAAATTTGCAGGTTTGTGACAAGCAAAAGGCAGTTATGCTGGCTGATATGGCTCATATTAGTGGATTGGTTGCTGCTGGCGTTATTCCTTCTCCTTTTGAGTATGCAGATGTTGTTACAACTACAACTCACAAATCGCTTCGCGGTCCTAGAGGGGCTATGATATTCTTTAGGAAGGGGTTAAAAGAGATTAACAAACAAGGGAAAGAGGTGAATTCTAAACTTTCCATATTGTATATGAATGAGTAAATAACCTGCAATTGTCGCCTATTTTCGTAGTATTTGATCATATCGTTCGTTTCTCTACCTGGCAGGTCATATATGACTATGAAGACAGAATTAACCAAGCTGTTTTTCCTGGACTGCAAGGTGGTCCACATAATCATACTATAACGGGTCTAGCAGTTGCTCTGAAGCAGGTTCAGTCATCAAACTTTTTTTTGAAATTGTGTTCCATTGTCTAATGTGTACCCATGAACTGCTTCCACTTTCTGATTAAGGTATAATCTAGGATTCTTTTGGTCTTGTTCATGATCTTTTGACTTGTTGATTTACTTTATTATAGGCGAGAACACCTGAGTATAAGGCCTACCAGGATCAAGTTCTCCGTAATTGCTCAAAGTTTGCTGAGGTGCGATGTGTTTGCTGATTTTTGTATGCTTAGTTTAGTAATTAGTTGATATGCCTAAGATACCGTGGCATGTGTGGAACAGCTGGGTATAAGACCTACTGTAATCATCTCACTTTTTTCGTAAAATGCTTGTAATTGCAGTCTTTGCTTGCGAAAGGATATGATTTAGTGTCTGGAGGCACTGAGAATCATTTAGTTTTGGTGAATCTGAAAAACAAGGTACTTCACATTCTATCTTTTACTGCACAACCCCTTTGATGTCTAGATGGAAAGGTTTGCTACGTATGAGTTTGCATAAGAAAGGGGTGAATCTCATCGTTAATAGAGAACATAGCCTAATCCCTGAAATGTGTATGATTTTAGTATGCTAAAACTAAAACAATGATTATTGTTTCCCATATCTGTTGTGTGATTTCATTTTTTACTGACCAGATGTAGCAAATCAAGTTTAGATATTTGATTTTGGTTCTGTGTTCCTCAGTAAGCAGTGCATAGTGTAGCTAATTTTCTCTGGTAACATCTATACTGTTGGAAATATGGTTTTGTAGGGAATAGATGGATCAAGAGTGGAAAAGGTATTAGAATCAGTACATATTGCAGCAAACAAGAATACTGTTCCGGGAGATGTTTCTGCCATGGTTCCCGGTGGCATCCGTATGGGTAAGGCTTTTAAAGGAACAGTAAAAGAATTAATGTGTTAGTATGTTGAAAAAGTAGTTAACATACATGCTTCTTGCAGTTTATTACTTTTGAACAAAAAAGACGGTAATGCTATTTTTGAACAAAAAGGAACACTGCAAGAAGTAAAGTGTTAGTATGTCGAAAAGTAGTAAATGTTCATGCTTTTTGCAAACTACTACTTAATGGAAAAAGGACTTTTATGCTATTTTATCTGTGATCATAGAGACCTGGTGATCGCTAAGAAAATCGTATATGTTCCGATTTGTTCTTATGATGATGGTATGGTTACAGGAACACCAGCCCTCACATCAAGAGGATTCATTGAGGAAGATTTTGTAAAAGTGGCGGAGTATTTTGATTTAGCCGTCAAAATAGCCTTAAAGATCAAGGCAGAGTCTCAAGGTATATAAAAAGCCGTTTGGTTCGGTTTATTATTTTCTGTCATGCTTGGGATTGTATTGATGGATCTATAATGTACTTCAGGAACAAAATTGAAGGACTTTGTAGCAACAATGCAATCAAATGAGAAATTACAGTCAGAGATGGCTAAGTTGCGTGAGATGGTAGAAGAATATGCGAAGCAATTCCCAACAATTGGGTTCGAGAAAGAGACGATGAGATACAAGGAGTAGTTTCAATCAAATGGATTGACACGTTTCCACATCTCCGAGATGCTTTAGGTACCTAAAACACTTAGTTATACGTAAGCTTATTCTCTGAAATATTTGAGGGAACTCATAATGGAGCGACTATGCAACTTTTTGCAGTGATCTTGTCTGCGTCCTGGACCAGAGGCGTGGTCGATTTCTAAAAGTATCTCGGAAACTAAAGTTGAACTCGAAAAATGGCACTCCAGTGTTGTCACCTTTTTCCCTTTGTTCTCATATTTATCTTTGCTTCCTTAAGTTGGTTCATCAATTTAAATAATTGTATTGCAACAGTTTTAAGGTTGCGATAGCTTAAACGATGCAGCTTTGATATTAAACAGAATTGTTTCTTAAATAAGAAGTCTCTTGCTTTTCAACATAAACAATGCAGCTCTGGAAATGGCCTTAATTTGAAATATTTGGCCTTTGACTTCAACTCTGTATCATTTGTTTTCTTTGGTTATATATTTACTTAAAGGTTTTGTCTTTATTAAAAATATAAAACGATATTTAATATATATATATATATAATTCATAAATCGACACTTAATATAAAACAGAGAGAATATAAACTATTAACAAATTTAATATTATGGATTGAAATTTCTAACCAGTCTATCATATGATAACAAATCATCTCAGAGAAGTACCATATACACACACAAAAAAAGAAGATTAATGGTATTTTAGAATATATATTAAAAGTGTATTGTATTTGTTTTAAGTGTTTAAAGTTTATTTTTCGCATGTCCTTGTTCGTTTATGGTGTAGATTCAGGTTGTAGGCGATTTGTTGCGAACTGAGCTGGATCCTGATTGGATTGAGACAATTCAGCAGCTAATCACTCATCCATATGGGAGGTATGACTACATTTTTCTCCGCTTGTGTTTCCAAGCAACTATATTTTATATATGGCGAGAACGAAACTAGAGAAGGCACAACAGGCTATATCGTACACATTCCCAACGATTGAGAGAGTTATACGTTCGAGAATCGTGTCTTTACGATATTTCGAGAATAGGAAGCTACGAGGGTTGATCCAAAGGTGGTTTAGTTCTAGACAAAATCATTAGCAGCTTGTTGCTCTATTTTATATCCATATGTTTCACTCTGTTTGTTCATTTGTTGTAAATAACTCTATTCTCATCAATTAATTTCACATTTCATCAAAAAAAAAAAAAAAAAAAAGTTTAAACTCAACTTGGTTTAAAATATTTCAACCGGCCACATTGACCACAATGATGGAGGAAACAAGAAACAAACAACTGTTTTCTTTTTCTTTCCGAAATAAAAATATAAAAAGTTGAAAAAGAACCAAAAACAGATCCCAATATATCCAACCAATCACAGCGGCACATCTCGAAAATGTAACATGGCTAAATTAAATCTTCACCGTTAAATTTAAAAACATCCAACACATCAAAACACATCTGTAAACTCGCATGGACCATATTAATCGTCTCATGCCCATCATTTCCGCCATAAAAGCTTACCTTTTTCCGCAATTAGCTACACACAAATTCGCACTAGTAGAATCTACACAATAACACAAACACACTATAATCCACTTCAATGCCGTCATCTATCCGGTGGTGGTGGCCGATCCATTTCACTTCACCTGGATCTGCACCGAGGTGGCTGAGTTGGCGTCGACCGGAGCTGAGTTTATTGTCTGTGGTGTTCGACGACGTTGTCTGGAAAGTAGTGACTGCGTTCGAGTCAGTGGCGTTGGTCTCCATGCTCTGTTTCTTCTTCCTCTTCTGTGGCTGCACCGTCTAGTTTTTTTTTTCACATAATCTCGTTAAGTGTTTTTTTTGTGAACAGTTTTAATCGCTTTGGATTGGTTTTTCCTTCTTGTTCCAATTTTAGCTGCGCCACCGTGACGCAATGGCGGAGAAATTTATGTTAGTGTTTTTCAACAGAGGCGCGTGATGCTCACTCGAGAGTTGTGATCATTTGTGTTTTAGTTTTGGTTTCTTTTAAAACAATGATTATGTTATGTTGGGAAGATTTTAGGTTCGAAAAATCATATACCTCGCTGTTTTGTTTACGTGCTCAGCTCTTATACTATCCATAAGAGTAAAATCATACCACGATCGATGTACTAAACATGTGTACGTGCTCTGTTTCTCTGATTTGAACCTTTCTCAAGTCATTCTTTTGCAGATCATAATCACTAAAAAAAATGTAATAAGGTTCAATCGGCCGTGTTGGTACTTCCGCGGTCCAATCAATGTAGTTACCCAGAGATATCCTCGACCAGTTCCCAACATCTTCGGATCTTCCATGACCCATAAGTCCACCAAACCCTCTTGTCCAAAATCAGTATGATAAACAAAAGCTAGTTTTCCACCATAGTTTATAAAATCCAAAGGCTCACCAAATTCATATAAGAGCACAAAACTTTGTTAAACCCGTGACTGCAAAAAAAATTGATTTAGACTAATGGGCCAAAAATGTAATGGGCTTAGCCGTTTAATAAACAAACGGTGAACTTATTTCAGAAAACGACGTCGTACTAAGGAACTCCATCAGAGAGAAAGACTCAAAACCCAAAGCCTCTCCTCAAGTGTTGAGGAAAAAGCTCCGATAATGGCGTGGATGCGACTGATACAGAGCGCGAGATCTGTTCTAAGAGCCGAACCAACGCCGTCGACTCTTAACTTCCCTAGATTCTATTCCAAATCCGCCGCTCCTTATCCCGGTAAATGTTTTTTCTTTGTTCAGGATTTTGCGTCGGAGAAATGTGGATGCAAAATTTGCGTGATTCGTTACCTTAGGGCTCTTGGAAGTTTCATGTGTGTGGAGGTTCATGATCGATATTTGGGGAAGACTAGCTATAGAGAGATGTTGTGTATCATTTAACAGTAATGTTGTTGTTAATTGTGAATGGTTTTTGATTGCTATTTTGTGATATTTGTAGTGAAAGTTGGAATTCCTGAGTTTTTGAGTGGGATTGGTGGAGGAGTTGAGACTCATATTGCTAAACTTGAAACTGAGTTAGGCGATCTTCCGAAGCTGCTCGTGACTCGTACGCTTAGACTCAAGAAGTTCGGTATCCCTTGCAAACATGTACGTTACATAGTTTTCAACAGGCATTTGGTTATATTGTTGTTGCACAGAAGTGTCACAGGTTTTAATATGTTAGGAATGAAACAATCTGTTGCCTTAGAATTTGTTCCATTAGTGAAGTTACTATAGATATTAAGGTAAAAAGAAGAAAAAGTTTGAGTTCTGTAACTTTTTAGGCACAGAGAGATTGATTGAGATATATGTACTAATCGTTCTATTATCTAGTCCTGGAACCTTAGTTTAGCTTGTTAGTTATCATCCGAATATTAAAATGTAGGCTTGTTCACACTTCCTGTCACTCACTAAGACATGTTTCTTTTCGTGTTACTGTTAATAGGTTTTGTGAAGTAACTATAGAATTGAATTTGTTCCATTACGTAGTTTAGTGAAGTAACTATAGAGATCAATGATAGAAGTAGAAATAGTTTTGAGTTCTATAAGTTTTTAGACACAGAGAATGATGTATGTACCTATAGTTCTATTATGTGGTCCTGGAAGTGTAGGCTTGTTCACGCTTCCCGTCACTCACGAAGACATATTTCTTTTCATGTTTCTGTTAATAGGTTTTTTGAACAATACTATGTTTGGATTTGTTGTCATAATTCTTCATATCTCTATTTTAGTCGATCTTGTTTTGAAAATTCTGAATTTCTGGTTTTGCAGAGGAAACTGATACTGAAATATAGCCACAAATACAGGCTAGGTCTATGGAAACCTAGAGCTGATGCTATAAAGGCGTGATTGGTTCCTGTACTCATCGAATTCTCAGAATGATCTAGGCATAGCAATGTTGCGAATTACTTGAAACACCGTACCAATTTCTCTGCATTCATGTACTTGTTTTCTCTGTGATTCAAATCCAGGAGCAGTAACTTTTGAAGTGTTGAATGTATCTGTCTTGTCACAAGACTCTTGTGGGAATCCGTAAGGCATAATAACTTCTCTCCACTGCTTACAACCTTCCTTTTTGCAGCGTGAAACATGAACTCGTTTCGAAGCTTCACATTAGGATCAATCCTAATTCTATTAAATAGTCCAATTTTGTTCACTCGAGTTCATTCTACAAGCTTGTATTTTCAAAAATCAAAAATTCAAGTGGTAGTATAGCAATGATCATAGTTAGGATCAAGTGAACTCATGACAATTGGTGTAAACATAAAATTAAAATGGAAGGGAATAATAAAATACTTTATATATATTTTTTTTTTCTGTAGATAAAAAGTATTTTGTAAAATATAGGAGGAAAACATTTCCTTTTTCATTACACAATACATTTCATACAATTTTGAAAATAATGTGTTGTGTCGCCTTATCATCACTCGACTTCAAATCTGGTAATATACACATTGAAACCTAAATCAATAAATTAAATAACTCCCACCACTATATAATAACACTAGATATAGATATGGATCCGTTCGTTGCATGGGTTGCCGGTTGAGATTATCATTCTTAATCATTTTATTTTATTTTTGTAAGCTTAACTAAAATTCTATAAACATATATATTTTAGAAAATACAGCATAATTATTTCCATAAGAGTTTTTGCCATCTACAAACAAAATTTTTGAAATTAGAATCAAAATTAGAAAACAATTAAGAAAATTAGCTTTTTACATTTTAAAACTGTTTAAATTATAATTTTTATAATTATCTTTTTACTTTATTTTATTTTTAAAAAGAAAATTTTATTTGACACATGTCAAAATCTCAGATCAAAATTTTTGACACGTGTCACAATCTCGTGAGTTACTAATTTGAAAATCATACTTTATATAATAAGATAAGATATGAACTCTCAATCCACAAACAAATTTTGTTCTTTTTATCATTGGGTATCCAAATCATCCAACTTTCTATTCACCCAAAACATTTTTTTTAAAAAAAGTAAAAAAGAAAAGTTATCAATAAATTATATATATAACTTTTTTTTGCATGGACAAGCCTTTGATCCATCTTATATAAGAATCAAAACTCTTCCCAATCAAAGTTATCATAAATTTTCTCTTCTAATAACTTCAAACATGATCAAATCATTGTTCTACACCTTCCTTCAAACGAAACACCAAGAAGAGAACGTCGATTCAACAGATCCTAATTATCCACTATTTCCTCAAGAGGTCGAGATCCGACCCATAGCTTATTTCCCTTGGGAAATCCTCAAGACCCTAACAATTGATGAAATCATAGATAAGTTCCAACTTCCAATGGAACAAATCCGGGATACTATGCTTAGAGATGTTTCAGAAGATGTCATATCTCGCACAAATTTTATGATTTGTTGCGCCGAAATATTGGTAAAAGATCTCGATACAAACACTATCCATCAAGTTAAATTGTGGAAGCATCCGAACGAAAATAATTTTGCACTACATAAATCTTGGATCGAAGAATTTGTGAAGAGGAGGAGGCTTGTGGATGGCATGGTGGTTGGTATGTATTGGGATTTTGAGGCTACCATGTTTTGTTTCTCTGTGTTAGAGGGAAGCAAATGAGTCAAAAGATTCAAAATGATCAAAATGAGATCTAGTAAGAATAAGTTATGTGAGACTTTTCTTTTTTTATATTTTGGGTTTTAAGAATAATCACTTTTGATTTGTGTGAAAGTATTTTGTTGTATGTCCTTTAATGATAAATGGATATGTAATTATATATTTTAGAGTTTATAAAGATAGTTACAGAAGCATCGGAAGATAGCTAACTGAACCTATTTATAGTCTATGCATCGTCATTTTAAGTCAAATAATATTTGAACGAATATGAATTTGAATTATTTTTTCTTTAAATTGGGTACTGCATAATGCAAAATTTATTTTTATGTGTATGTAAACACATAAGACCTCAGTTATTTTTTTTTCTTTCAATATAGTATTTGTGCATAAACCACAAATTCTCAACATTCTAGTTTTTTCTTAAACATATATCATTTACAAACTTATAAATATTTTTGCTTGAAACAATGAAAACTATAATATAAAATGCACTTCATAAAGAAAAAATTATGCAGATTTTTTACTTTATATAGATTTTTGTTATGAGTGAATACGAATATTTACATCTCAACTCTAGTTTGAAAATGACCATGCCAAATAGCCTAATTTAGTATTGTTATTATGTCATTATCATGGTTCAAAAACCCATATAATAATCATATAGTTGACAAAAAATTCTATTATTTTAATATAAAATTAGCTGGAGTTTTTAAAGAAAACTGTATAAATTAAATCATGATTATATCAATGCTAAAATAAAGAGAATACTATCCACATAATATATTTTCTGTTTCTAATGGTTCTATAAATTATTTTTAAATATAATAAACTACATGTTTGAATTTTTTTGATATATTATATCCTTATAATAGGTATAGTATGTGTATAGTAAATTTTAAAAGTATATTATTTGTAGTTTTTTTAATCCTTGTATATGTTTACGAAAAAAACCTCGATCATCATGTGTATGGACGAAATAATTAAAACCGATATTATTATCTAAACTATAGTTATCTTTCTCACAATGGATGTTTACCGTACTTATCCTATATAGTTAAAGGCATACAATTTTTTTTACTAATTGTTACAGTTAATTTTGAAATTTAATTTGAGGATTTGAATAAATTACATATAAAATAATTATTAAATTGATTATATAAATATATTCTATTTTTTAAAGATTAAATATTACTTAGAAAGTTATTTCTTAAAAGTTATTTTAAAATCATGTATTCATTGTAATATTTATAATAATTCATAAAATCATGAGAAAGTAAAAAATATATTATGTGAAAAGTACTATCTTTCTTTTACTGTAGATAAAATCATTCCTTTTGTTCTTAAGTCTAGCTAATAATCTAAAACATTTAAAATAAAATTTATATATTTATAGGTGTAAGTGACAATAGTAATATATTAAAAATAATAATATCAATATATTAAGATGTATTTAGTCAATACAAAAAATAGAAAATTAATTAAATATAATAGTAATAAGAATTAACAAAGATTTTCATGTAAGGGATTGGAAAATAACCAATATTTAATGAGTAACAGTTATATTTTCTATTTTTTTAAAAAAATACATGACAATTGTAAACTTGTAAAAATAATAGGAATATGAAATTTTTAATTTTAGTGAATTAATAAATATATAAATTATTGGAAAACTATTAAAAATGAAAATGATAATTTTTTTTACTGTACTCTATATTTTTATAGAATAAATTTTAACTAAAATTTCAAAAGGAAAACATGAAAAGATATATATAAATTTTCACTCGATATTGTTGTTGGAGAAAATATGAAAGGGAAATAAAGAATAAAATGTCATGATGTAGTTTAAATTTTTTACATAAACAACAATGGAAGATGAAATTTCTTTATCTTAGGAATTCAAAAAGCAGAAATTGGATTTAAGAATAAGTTAATCACAAATAAAGAATCAACTGAAACATAATTTAAATTTTGATATATACTAAAAGTTTGTGATAATTTTAGATATTTGTCACATATATACATACATAGATATATATAAGATATACAAATTTATATTATTTTTGAAGGAACCAATAATCGAAGTTAAGAAAATAAGAATAATTATTTGTGTTGTCTTAAACTTTAACTCGTGTTTATTTTGCTTTACTTTTTTTACATGAATTGGAGGTATGTAACAATGTAATCGTGGAATGGTAAACCCGACCATTGGTGATCCGAATCATATACTAACATAACGTACATATTGGATAGTGATGCTGGCGGGGGCTTTGGCTGGATATTTACAAATCCAGCTTCGGGACTTCACCGACAAGCTTCTGCGACATCAACCCATATCTGATCACCACTTTTGGAGGAGGCACAACCGATGTTTCTGGCCCTTAAGCAAGCTTCAAATCTAGGTTTCACAAAACTCTCTATAGCTTTAGATTCAAAACAATTGATCGAAGCCATCACTTCGGAGTCTCAATTAAAGGAATTCCACGTAATTCTACATAATATACTGACTATCTCTTCTTTTTTTATGTAATTTGTTTCAAGTTTGTCTATAGAGACAAGAATAGAGAAGCTGATGCGTTAGCAAAACACTCTCTACGCAACCTTGTAGTTGTTTCTTCGTTTTCTTAATTAATTGAAAGACTATTTTGTCCCAAAAAAGGATAGTGATGCTGGCGGATGGCGGTTAACGATGTGCCAAAAACCAATACTAATTTACATAATACATCCACGTCAATGTTATCGTTATATATTTGTCCACTAGAGCTAACTAAAATAAAATAACATGTTTATTCGGTCTTAAAAGAAAATTTGATTCAAAAACATTTAGTAACAATACAATCATATAAATTTCTAGACAATCAAATATTTCAATAATGCAAATCAGAACAATTAGTAAACTACTGTATATCACTACAAGAAATATCTACATTATTAGCAAGAGCCAAGATAGAAGAGCTATTATATGTTATCAATAGCGTTTTCATAAATGCTATGTTAGATGCTCATTTTAAATGCTATAATATATTTTGTTATGACTCTTATTTTATGCAATAATACTTGCTTTTTATGTGCATATTATTTCACATTTGCGAAAACCTCTTTTGAAATTTATATAAAATATTTACATTTCATAAATCATCCACACCATACAAGTAAAATGTCTCAATCCAAGGCTTAAACTAAGATTACAATTACCAAAATTAACAAACTTGTTCTCATATCTAAGCTGAGCCTAATTTCTAATGTGTAGATTTTGGGCTGCACTCACTTGGGACTTGACTTGAGACTTCACTTGAGACTGCAATATCTTGGGCTGCACTCACTTGAGACAGCAAAACAAATTAGCTCTGACAAAGAACATTTATAATTTATCCACAAAACAATCACAACCACAGTAAACTACTAAAACCAACAAAAGAGATAGAGATAAGATGTATCATTTACTCACTTCTTCTTGTCAATGTAAGGAACATCACTCTGTCTAGCCTTCCCATATTCATCTTTATTCAGTTACTAATTAGAAACATAAACTAACATTGTAAAGGAAAAGTTTAGAAAACATACGGGAACTTTGTTGGGGTTCGCTCTTATACGAGTAGATTCAGCCATTCTCATCTCTGAGATCAAAACAATGCCACAAAATTTAGTCACAGCTAATGGATCATACAAACACATGAACACATCTTATAGCTTAAAGACATGTGATCTAAGGAAAGCTGCACAAAAGAAGAAAAAAATACATGAGGACAGCAAGTAAGAAAACGTTTACTCACCTCTTTATTTATCTCTTCTTTGCTCTTTACCTCATGTGAAGGATCTAAGTAAGCAAAAAAACAAGTATCATTATGAATAATAGATGTTAACTACAACTAAGACAAGTCTTGAATATAAAACTGAACATCATGAACCAGGAACTCTAACCATTAACATCCCACAAATTGTTGTTACAGAAACCAAACCAATTAAACAAGTTTGATGCTACATTCACTATCAATATTCTTTCACCTGAATTCTGCATCAATTGCTTTACTATATAGTATATATGTATCGCAAAAACAGATCCATTCTTAAAGAAACCACAAGAATTATAAGGCAAAACCTAACCTTCCATGGAGAGCTTCCACTCTTTCAATAAAACATGGGCTGTGTATAAACAAATAAAAAAGACCAAATTAAACTCCCAATAAACGTCCAAAGAAGCAAAAGTTTCTTAATAAACGTATCATGTTAATTACTTAATAAACTTCTATGCTCTAATTAACAACACACTAATTTTTAAAACCTCCGTAGCTCTTAAACTTTTTTTCCAATTGCACACACGATTGGATTAGTTGTCAGAAATACACATGATTGTGGATAAGAAAATACATAAGTTAAGTTACACATGATCAATCAAACCAATGAAACAAACAGAGAACAATTATCATAAAAGACTTCTCCTTGTTTTGTTACCTTGACGAGAAGCTGGAGGTAGATTAAGGAGCATTTTTTTGGTCTTCTAGCTATTGTCTCCTGCTATAAGAGCGATACCATACAAAAACAATGAGAAAACCCAATTCAAAACCTCAAAATTACAGAAAAAGACCATCCACATTCAAATCCATAACCTAAAGAATGTTACAGATACCTTATTCGAAATCTTCGAAATCAAGTTCGTAAACGAAAACTTCATCATTAAAGATAGATGGAGAAACAAATCAAAGGGGCAAGGGAGACGGAACCAACAAACCTTATTCAAAATCGATCCAAAGAAAAAAGGGAGACTGAACGAATTTGAAGACTAAGGTCATTACAAACCCAGACCACGAAACCATAATCCCAAACGCAGATTCAAAGCGGGAAAGGGAGACGGAACCAAGAAACCTTCTTTGAACGAAACCAGCTTCTCTTTTTGTTCTGATATAGAGAAATCCAAACCTAAAGAAACTTTCGATATATAAAGGAGAAGAACAATGAAGAATTTTGATTGTAAAAAGCCGATTTAGGGTTTGGGTGAGCTTGGTCGGAGGAAAGGTGGCTGAGAGGGAGGAAGTGACTGAGAGAGAGAGGAGGGTGGGGGAGACGGTTCAGCTATAGCGGCGGAGACGGTGGAGGAATAGATAAAAGACACCGAGGTAGATGGAGGAGAAGATGGTTGCTCTCGAGAGCTGTTTTTTTCTTCTTTCGGTAAAAGTTCTTTTTTTTTTTTTTTTGGTCTCGTGAGCTGTCCTAGTGTAAAGGGAAATGTTAGTGATTTTACGCAAGTGTCGGCGCTTAACTAAATATTTTGGACTAAATATTAGCGGAATAAATGATTTTAGTTTTCCGCTTAGTGATAATCTATCTTAGCCTTGTTTCAATGCTATTATATAATAACAGTTACAGAAAATGAGCTATCCTCAGTGTGCTATCAATGTGGATATTTGTTGTAGTGTATTGAGATAGGTTTCTATGCAATCAAATAATTCAATTTATATTTATTCAAATTAATATAACCATTGCTGTCAAAAAAAAAAAAAAATTAATATAACCATTCAAGCTTTCATAAATATTTCAAAAGTATTATACCATAATATAATATTTTAAGTGAGTTTATTTTCATATCTATTAAACCTTGAACCAAAATCTTATAAACAACCACAAATACCAATCAATTTACTTATAACGAATCACTAGTCAAAATATTACTTTTTAATTTTTTGTATACCATCGGAAAGATTTCAACAAGAGAATTCTGAATTAGATGTTGCTTTTCCCAAAATCGGTTTACTCATTGCGGTTAATCATTGGTTAAATAATAGAGAAGTTGAATGCAACACAATGTGACGATAATTATGGTTTAGAGGAAGAAACGATTAATCACGCAATTTTTAGGTATCCCTTACTCTCTAAACTTGGGCTTTATCGTTGGTGTCAATGCCTCGTAACTTTTTTTTTTTTTTTTTTTTTCTAAAGGTCGCAGTTCTTGTTTCTTTCATAATCTATTTTCTCATACTTGAAATGTACAGCATATTCGAGCATACTAGCTTTAATAGGGAGAAAAGAAGGATAAGCTATTTATTAATACAATTTTAGAATTTCATTTTAGAAAAAAGAAAATTGGAATAAATATGGTTATTTGTGATTCAGTTTCCATTTAAATGAAAAATGCAATATAAAAATTTCCATTATACTAACTCGCCATTTTGATATCGAACACATATATTTTCATATTTATCATAAATTTTGTTAAAAATATTATCATACATGCCTACGCATCTAACTTTAAATTTATGTAATAAGATTTCTATTTTTCAAATAAGATATATATAGCTTAAATTTAGATTTTATTTAGATAAGGCACAAGCAATTTTATCTTGTAAATTAAAGTTCCTTATAAAACAAAATAGAATCAGCCATTCGATTAGGCCTAATTAAGTTCAAGAAATAAAAACATTCAATCAATTGGATAACATTTTCGGTTGACCATATGTGGTATAACAAGCAAGTTTATATAGATCCAAAAAATATATTCTATATTAATAGGAAAATTACCATAATCTGTTTAAGGAAACTAAATAATTCAACCCTCACCATAATTATAATAACTTTCCATTCTCCTTCGCATCCTCTTCTTCTTATTATTCTTCTTCTTCATCATCTTGTTCTTTTTTCAGACAAAAGATAGTTAGATAAACATGTCTTGTTTGTTCATCTTCATAGCTTTGCTTCTGAGTTTTTGTCTTAAGTCCTTGACAGCCCTTGATCAGACTTGTGGCAACAAAGTCGTGAACACAATCGTCGTCGACCAAACCGGTTCAGGTAAGTTCCGTACGGTTCAAGCTGCCATTGATTCGGTTGGTGAATTGAATCCTCTATGGATCAAAATCAAAGTAAAACGAGGTGTTTACGTGTAAGTAAAGACCAACTCGCTACTGTTTTTCTTTTTCCAATTTTAGAACGCAGCGTTCTTGACCACAATTTTCTAGCGTTTGATTTGTTTTGAAAGTAAAAAATTACTGCTTTTGGTGTAGAAACAATGAACTAGTTGCTCTTGACTTCATAGGTCTCTCCACAATTTTACATATCTATATTCTTTATTTTTATATTTTTCTAGGTTTTTGTTTTTTTTAAAGAAAATTAAAGCATTGTTGATATCAAAACATGAACCCTAATTAAATCTTTGATTTTTTTTTCCATTAAATCTTGAGTTTGTGTTGTTATGGTTCATAGAGTTCTAGAACCCTAATTAATCGAATTTACCAAGATTTAAAAGAACGAGTCGTTAATTCGTCAACGGATTTGCAACTGTTATTTTTCTTATAGTAAGATTAACATTAAATTAACATATAGTTTTGTATGATAATGAATGTATAAAACAGAGAGAAGGTGATAATACCATATAACAAACCATGCATAATAGTAGAAGGAGAGGGACAAAGAGTCACGACCATCATGTACAATGGTCACGAAGCCACTGACGTCAGCTCAACTTTCACTTCATATCCACCCCATATTGTCGTCCGAAACTTATCAATCATGGTACGTAACGGAACGGAACACAAACATATCTTTTGACTATATACTATATTTTTTGACATAACAATAATATAAATGATATATGTTTTGTGGCAGAACACGTATTATCCTTTGAATAGTCTAACGATGAAAGCAAACGATATGAGTTGGAAAATAAAGCCGGCGGTTGCGATTTCGGTTTATGGCGATAAATCAGCGTTTTACAACTGCGATTTCGTGGGGTTACAAGATACAGTGTGGGATAATCATGGCAAACATCACTTCAAAAATTGTTACATCCAAGGTGCTATCGATTTCATTTTTGGAAGTGGCCAATCTATTTATGAGGTATGTATATACTTAATATCTCTATTACACTTCGATTTTCAATGGCAAACACTAAAATCGTATTTGATCACTATTTACACCAAGACTGTTACATTCACAGAACAAACACACTTCTTAAAGACTTTTCTTAGAACTGTACTAAATTCAACTTTTCGTTCTAGAAAAAGTAAAAGTTCAGTCATTCAAAATAATAGATACAAACTTGGTTAAAATCTTGTTTGTAGCATGTTTATTTTTCTCTATATCAAAACTAAACATGTGACTTGACTAGGATCGATGACTGATTTTTTTGTTGGATAGTTTTTATTAAGTCAACAACTTTTTTTTTTTTTTTTTTTCAAGTCAACAAGTTGATTTTGAGACACTAAAGATTAAGATCTATGTGAAACATGTACATGCATTAACTAAAACATGAGTCGTATACAATGTTGGACAGGACTGTCATATAAACGCAACGGCAGGAGCATTGGCATCAGAAGTGGCGGTTGGATACATAACGGCTCAAGGAAGAAGCAGCGTTTCGGACCCAAGTGGCTTCGTGTTCCTACGAGGTAGTGTTTCAGGGACTACCAGTGTCTATCTTGGACGAGCCTATGGTCCATTCAGCCGAGTCATTTTCATCCAAACCGATCTCTCTTCCGTCGTCCACCCTAAGGGTTGGGACCCTTGGCACTATGGTAGATACGAGTAAGCACATCTCTATCTATAATATATCATATATACCATTGTCAAATTATATATGTGATAATGAAACTATATATTAAAATTTTGATGTTTTTTTTGGGGGTTAGGATGAGTTTCACGTATGCAGAAGTCGAGTGTAAAGGAGCAGGATCGGATATTTCAGGAAGAGTTCCTTGGAGTGACAAACTTCATTCTTTTTACACTAAACAACAATTCTCTATCTCTAATTTCATTGACCAAGATCAATGGATCTCTAATATTCCTCGTTTTTAAATAATTCACTTTTTCTTTTGTTAGATTCTAGTTGTTTTATATAACTTGTATCTTTCCTTTCTTGTTGAATACTATTGTCTTTGAACTATGAAGACTTTTTTGATTTTCTTAGATAATTCATTGACCTTGTAAGACTAGGCTTGGGCAAATTATTCAAACCAAACTGAATCGACTACATCTATTGTTTACCGTTTCGATTCTGGTATATGGCGATCCCTCTTTTTATATAACTTCGGTTTTTTTTTTTTTTTTTTTTTTTTTTTTTTTTTTTAAAATCGGTTTTCAATTCGGTTCATATATTAGTAACCCAAATTGTTATTAATGTTGGTTCATTGTATTTGAAATTTCGATTCTTTATATTTTAGTACTCAACCAATTCTCATCAAAATTGCACTAAAACTAAAACAGCAAATTAGCCAAATTTTAAACGAATTTGAACGAATTTTGGGTAAAATTGAACCACAATTTCATAAAACTAAACAAAATAACCGAAAAAAGAAACCCAAAACTGGAATTCTCTGAATTACCCATAATACCAAACCGTTATAATTACGGTTGAAAATTTAATCTCTGTGATTATAACCGAACTTTTATCTAGCCGAACTGAACCGAACCAAACCGATTTTATTTTCGGTTTAACTTACTCCTTTTCTCCAGAATCGAATCAGCCACAAAACCCAAGTTATCCGAACCATCAGACCCAACGGGCAATGGCCATGGACTATAGACCACTACAATTCAGTGTGGATGATTTGGTTAGCCAGGTGGCTATGTATTACTGGTTATAAATAAATCTACGTGGCTTAATCTCCCTTACACAAAAACTCTCTGTAGTCTGTACCATTTCTTCCCCACTTGAACGGCGTGCTTCGCGACGAACCGCCATAGATAAGGTTTAATTTCTCTTTAACAGTCTCTCTGGATTTTTTTCACCTAACGTTGAAGAAAATCCAATGGCGTTTAAGTCATAGGGAAAAAAAAAAAACCCAGAGAGGAAGATTTAGAAGTTAAATTCGAGTTTCACTGATTTGTTTTCTGGAGGCTGCATGAGTTTGGAGAAGTCGAATAGTACGAATTGCTTGAAGATAAATCAATTTTCAGAATGGTTGTTTCCATGGCTTTGGTCAGACATTCACCGTCTTTCGATTTTCTGTTTCATTTTCCGGTCGACAGAAGCCGTTTTCTATCGCCGGTGGCTTTTTCTAGAGTTCGCTATCATCGGTTCCCTTCTTGTAGATGGTTAAGTCTCAGCTCATCATCTTCATGTTCTCGCAGGTTCGAATTCTAGTTTCAATATGTATTATAACGATTTTTGATTATTATGGCTTTGCTGATTTCAATTTTTCTTAATTCATGATAGGTTAAACAGTTTTAGTTCAAGGTGTTCGATTATAAACACT